AAAAGAAAATACAGTTAAGAAGTCAAAAGAAACTTGTGAAAAATAGATATATGCAATACACATGACAAAACACTAATTTCCTTAACATATGAAGAGTTCCTACAAATCAATAAGAAAGAGATAAACAAACCAATAGAAACATGGGATAGGGGTGCCAAGGTATCTCAGTTGTTTAAGCAACTGCCTTCGGCTCAGGTCATGATCCTAGAGTCCTGGGATTGAGTCCCACATAGGGCTCCCTGCTTGACGGGGAGTCTGTTTCTCCCTCCGACCTCTGCCCTCTCATGCTCTCTTTTTCTCTCTAATTCTGTCTCTCTCTCTCTCAAATAAATAAATAAAATCTTAAAAAAGAAAAAAAAGAAAAGAAACATGGGGCAAAGACATGACTGGAGAATTCACAGAAAAGGGAAAACTAAATGGCAGATGAAAAAATAGTCAAATCTGTTCATTATTAAGGAATGCCAAACCAAAACTATGAGGAGATACCATTTCTCCAATATGCTATTTAATATTTTTAATTTTTTAATTTTTTTAGTATTTTTTAAAAGATTTTATTTATTTATTTGACAGACAGAGATCACAAGTAGGCAGAGAGGCGGGCAGAGAGAGAGGGGAAAGCAGCCTCCCCGCTGAGCAGAGCCCAATGCAGGGCTCGATCCCAGGGCCCTGAGATCATGACCTGAGCCAAAGGCAGAGGCTTAACCCACTGAGCCACCCAGGTACCCCTAAGATTTTTTTAAATCATTGCAATAATAATATGCTACATTAGTCAGAACATACCTAATTGGTCACTCACATACATTGATAGTGAGAGTCTAAACTATACCTTTTGCACCAAGAACTTATCCGATGAGTTTATTGATGTTTATGTGCAAAGAAGTACAAGGATACTTATTATAGTATTGTTTATAACAAAAACATTGAAGAAACCTAAGCACTCATCTATATGGGGAATATTAAATGATAAGATATTCATATAATGAAATGTTATGCACCAACTAAGAAGAACAGAGGTGCTATATGTTGCAATGTGAAATAATTTCCAAGATAAATAATTAACTGAAAAATACATGATACAGATTTTTTTTTAAGAGAGGGGATGAGAGAGAGAGAGAGAAGGGGAGATGGAGAGAGAAAATCTTAAGCAGTTCTCATTCCCCATACAGAGCCCAACATGGGGCTTGATCTCAATACCTGAGATTATGACCTGAGCCAAAAGTCAAGAGTCAGACACTTAACTGACTGAGCCACCCAGGTACCCAGTACAAGTCTCTGGTCTGGCATGTAGGGACTTGGAAATTTTCACTTCATCCTAACAACAAGTAAAAAAAGTAAAAACAAGTAAAAAAACTGAAAAAAATCAACTTTTCTTAGATCTGTTAGAGAAGTGAGGGCAAAATACTGCCTCCAAAATTGCAGCAGCAGACAGACAGATATAGAGAATCATGACTCCCTGGAGCAAATATGCACAAGCAGAAATCCCCAAGGTCAGGGAGAGGGGACACCTGGGGTGGCTCAGTCATTAAGCGTCTGTCTTCAGCTCAGGTCATGATCCCAGGGTCCTGGAATTGAGCCCCACATCAGGCTCCCTCCTCAGTAGGAAGCCTGCTTCTCCCTCTCCCACCCCGCCCCCGCTTGTGTTCCTGCTCTCACTGTCTCTCTCTGTGTCAAATAAATAAATAAAATTTAAATCTTAAAAAAAAAAAGGGAAAAGGAAAAAGAAATCCCCAAGGGATGAGTACCCAGAGCAGGAAAATTTAAACTATAAGTGACAAATTGGTAGAGGTTCAGTATGGATATGTCTGAGAGTTAAAAACTCCAGAGAGAATCAAGTCATAAGGAGGGCTCCACATTTTTGTGAGTTTTACCACTAGAAGTTCTACCAGGTTCTCGCAGTGAATATCAAAGAAAAATCCCTTTGTGCGTCCCTCAGTGGGAGGGAAAAGGAAATACACCAAAGTATTTTGTTGTTGTTTTTAATGGGGCCTGGCCTCAAAAGAAATTATTTTATCAGAGTCTAACCTCCTAGGGGTTTATCAGAGCATAACTGACCTAAAGAAAAGGAAATACTCAACTCCAGTCCCCTCTAGCCATCCTGTCCCACCTGAGGAGGATACAACAGAGAAAAGCTTATAATATTCACAGCCCAGGAGCACTGGCTCACTAAAAGACTGATACCTAATCATAGAGCTATAGAATGCTTCTCTTTCCCCCACATCTTACCACCATATCACTAAAGATCTATTCATCAGAGTTTCATTTGCACGGTATATTATGTCCAGCTTTCAAAGAAAAATTACAAGGCATACTAAAAGGCAAAAAACGTAGTGTGAAGAAACCGAGCAAGCAGCAGAACTAGGTTCAGTTATGGCAGGAAGTTTGGAATTATCAGACTGGGAATTGAAAGCAACTCTGATTAATATGCAAAGAGCTCTAATTCAAAATGTAGACAACATGTAAGAATAGATGGGCAATGTAAGCAGAAAGATGGAAATTCTAAGAAAGAACCAAAAAAGAAATGTGAGAGATCAAGAACACTGTAACAAAAATGAAGAATGCCTTTGATGGGCTTGTTAGTAGAGTGAACACAGCTGAGGAAATAATTTCTGAGCTCAAAGCCATGTCAATAGAAACCTCCAAAACTGAAAAGCAAAGAGAAAAAAAACTGGGGAAAAAAAAAGAAAATAATATCCAAGAATAGTAGGGCAACTATAAAAGGTATAATTTATGCATAATGGGAATATCCGAAGGAGAAGAGAGAAAGGAGCAAAGGAAATATTTGCAGAAATAAGAGTGAGAATTTTCCCCAAGTTAATGTCCAACACCAAAGCACAGAGCCGGGAAGCTCAGAAAATGCCAAGCAGGATAAATGCAAAGACAAACAAACAAACACGAAAGAAAACACTATACTGAGTCATACCTTATTCATCCTTCAGAAAATCAAAGACAAAGAAAAAATCTTGAAAGAAATTAGAGGGAAACCCCTTTAACAAATAGAGAAGCAAAAATAAGTAGTATGCCTGAATTCTCAGAGCCATGCAAACAAGAAGAGAGTGGAGTGAAATATTTCAAGTGTTCAGAGAAAACAAACCACCAACCAAGAATTCTGTGTCCTACAAAATTATCCTTCGAAAATGAGGGAGAAATAAGGACTTGCTCAGGAGAACAAAACGGAAGAAATTTCTTGTCAGAAAACCTGCCTTGCAAAAATGTTAAAAGTTTAAGGAGGAAAGTGATATGTCAGAAATGCAAATTTATATACTAAAGCAAAAACACTGGAGAAGGAATAATTGATGCTAAAATAAAAACTTTTTCTTCTTAATTGATCTAATAGATAATAACTTATTCAAGATAATAACAACAATGTATTAGATTATATATGTTTATGTATAAGTGAAATAAATGACAGCAATGATGTAAGGGACAGGAGGGAGGAATTGGATTATTTTGTTATTACAAGGTACATGTACTATCCATGAAGTGGTATAATATGATTTGAAAGTGGATTTGGATTAGGTGTAAGTGTATATGACAAACTCTTGGATAACCACAAAAAAGTAAAGAAGGAAGTGTAACTGGGACATCTGGATGACTCGATTGAGTATCTGCCTTCAGCTCAGGTCATGATCCCAGGGTCCCTAGATCCGGTCCCACGATGGGCTCCATTCTCAGCTGGGAGCCTGCTTCTCCCTCTCCTTCTGCTCCTCCCCCCTGCTCACACTCTCTCTCTCTCTCTCTCTCTCATTAATTAATTAATTAATTTTTAAAAAGATTTATTTATTTATTTGACACAGAGAGACAGATCACAAGTAGGCAGAGAGGCAGGCAGAGAGAGGGAGGGAAGCAGGCTCCCCGCTGAGCAGAGAGCCCGATGTGGGGCTGGATCCCACCACCCTGAGATCATGACCTGAGCTGAAGGCAGAGGCTTAACCCACTGAGCCACCCAGGTGCCCCTAATAAATTAATTTTTTAAAAAAGAATTATAACTGTTATGTTAAGAAAGGAGAAAAAATGGAATCATTGAAAATACTTAATTTGAGCCACCCCGGCAGAAAAAAAGTGGAAGACAAAAACAAAAACAAGAAACAAAGGCAATTAACAGAAAACAAAAACAAATATGGCAGAAATTAATCCAACCATATTAACAGATGGCATACCATGTAATTTATCTATTTAAGTGCACAATTCAGTGTTTGGGAGTGTGTTATATGGTTATTTTTTAAGTTTAGTAAAATATATATAACATAAAATTTTACATTTAAAAAATACATGTATTCTGCTACAATTATTATAAAAGTTAGATTTTTTGTTTTAAAAATAAAAAATAAAAAGTAGATATTTATACAAAAATGCTTTAAAAAGTGTAGAATGTCTCTAAAACACATTGCAACAATAGTTGCCTCTAAGAAGTGTCACTTGGGGATTAAGTGAGAAGAATGTAAGGGAAAATAATTTCTCATGTATTCTCATGTATTCTCCTGTGCTGTTTTCATGGTTTATCATGTTAATATATCATCTACTCACAAAACAAAACAAAAATTAGAAAAAAAATGTATCCGGTGTGTTACATAATTGGCATTTTTTGACTGCTTTAGCTTTTTACTCTAACGCCCAAATCACTAACCACTCAAGGTTCTCTTTCCCACTTAGAACACTGAAGAAACTTCAGAATCCTTCCTAAGAAGTGCTTCATGCTTTTACTACCACTGAACGAAAGCAACTCCCACTGAAAAATATAATTGAAATTATGTAAAGAGATGTACCCACTGAAAATACGTTGCATTAGAGATCTCTCTATATACAAGTCTTTCCGGACGACTTGGCTATTACATTAAACAGTGTATCTTTTAAATAGTACTTTCCCAGAAAATATAATTAAAACAAAGATGAATAAATATGCTAAATATGAACCATGTTGCTACAGTTTTCTGATTGTATGTTTACACTTCCTTGCCAGATTAAAGACAAGAAAAACAGCATTTAAGGACTTATATACTTACCCATATGTGGAATATTCCAAACTATGTACCATTTCGACATATCCTGGCAGGTTATCTAACATATGCTGCAACATTTTTAAAGCAATCCGACTGCCAAGTCTCACAGTGTGGGATCCAGATGTGGAAGGTATTTGGAAGCGTGTATTTGCTTCTAGGCAAACCCAGGATCAGTCCATGTGAAAGAATTCCAACCTCCTCACCCCTAGAGTGTGGGTTAGTAACCATGACTGGTACGCATTGTTGGTGGCTCTGGAACAAGAATGATCCTATCTCGCATTTGCCACCAGCCAAAAACTTGCAGCGAGCCTTTCTTGGCAGGAAGTCATTTTCAGTCTAAGTGAAATGCTCAAGTCCATGCCATTTCTTTATCAAATCCAGTAGCAGTTAGAGTTTTGCAGTCTCCAGCGTGCACGTGCGTGTCCAAGGGCGCACATACACACTCACGTTCCCTTGCTCTAACCCCCTACTCCCCTTAGGAGAAGCAGAGAAGGAATGCTTTTCTCAGATGCCGCGGGCTAGACTTAAAATTTCCTTGACATGATTTTCACAGAAAAATCTGCCAGTATTATACCCAGAAGGAAAAGGCTTATAGCATAATTCAACAATGGGTGTGGCTTCAGTTTTCTCATCTGTAAAATGAAATAACTTTATTGGACAGTCTCTTTGAGCCTATCTAGTTCAAACATTCCTAAATAATAAGAACCATTTAGAATAAATAACTTCACAAAACATAGGAGCGATACTCAATCCCCCTTAACAATACGTGTACCTTGAGGCTGGGATGCAAGGCCAGATTGGGTCAACTCCCGTTTCTTGAGGTCTCTTTCAACTCCAAGATTCTATTGGCCCTTGAGGTGTCAGTTTTGTAGACCAGTACACGTGCGGGTTTTTTTGGAACACTGAAAACAAACAATTCATTCAAACTGAACACTTCAGCCCTTGCTCTAGTCAACAAAACATGAAGAGAAATTAGGTATTTATATTAACAGAGGGGAACACTGAAGCTCTCTGCTGACAGAAATGTGTCCGTGCATTCCCAATAAAAACAAACAGAGCTTCACCATGACATAATCGCAAAATTTCTATCCCTGCCTCATCCAGATCAGGAATTACCTGGAATTACCTGGAAAACTTTGGCATCCTTCAGAGTCACACAGATACTAGACATCCCAGGGCCACCCACACCCAGAAAGTAATATAAGATTTTATTTATTTATTTGACAGAGAGAGGGAGATCACAAGTAGACAGAGAGGCAGGCAGAGAGAGAGAGGGGGAGGAAGCAGGCTCCCTGCTGAGCAGAGAGCCCGATGTGGGGCTCGATCCCAGGACCCTGAGACAATGACCTGAGCTGAAGGCAGAGGCTTAACCCACTGAGCCACCCAGGCGCCCCAGAAAGTAATATAAAAGAATACAGAGAACAAACAGTTTGTCTGGTGCGATCAAAATTCACAAATAGTCTTTGAGAGGTGACAAAATGCTTTTCTTTACATTTTTATTTGTTTCTTTGAGAGGGAGAGAGAGAGCGCGCGTGCACAGGAGGCGGAACCGAGGGAGAAGGAGAAGCAGACTCCGCACTGAGCATGGAGCTGGAGGCAGAGCTCCATCCCACGACCCTGATAGCATGACGCAAGCTGAAATCAAGAGTGGATGGTTTAACTGACTGAGCTACCCAGGTGCCCCACAAAAAAAATAGCTTTAAAGGAAGAATGATGAGGTTCAGCTTCCAAATCTACCACTTATTAACTGCATTGGCCTGGATAAGGTATCTAACCTATGTTTCAATTTCCTCATAAATTCACTGGAGATATTAATACCTCATTCTTAGGATGAATGTTCTTGCAACACTGAAGGAACTCAAGAAGTAGTAGCTATTATAACAATCAATGCGTCCTTCTGGACTCAAGATCACAACTCTGGATTCCACTCAAGACTCTCTCTCTCTCCTTCCATCTCCTTCTGTCTTTCCTTCCCCCATCCTCCACCCCCACCCCATTTGAGTTTTTGCAACCTACTCAGTTTAGGGAATATTTTGTAAATCACATCTACTTTGCTAAATCATGAAGCCTACCCTCTCTAGCCAGTCCATCACCCCAGACTGACACTAAGAGAGAAGTTCAGAATGTCTACTATACTGTTTCTTCCATCTGAGATGAGTGTATGTTATTTTATTTTTTAATTTTAATTCCAATATAGCTTGTTATTTTATTTTCAGTCAATATTCTGATTGCTGGTCCCCAAACAATGTAAAAATCTTTTAGTCAGAACACAGACATTTTTGGAAGAAACCTAAGATTTATCCTAATAAGTGAGTCTGTCTGCTGCAACAGTAGAAACCAGATCTGATGCCTAGGACAAAGATTAAAACTTACGAATTGTGAGAAAACATCTGCCTTTCCTCCAGCATCAAATCTTTGTGGCAAAAGAGGTATTTATAAACCGGAATTCTACAGTCTTATTTGGAATTGTAGACTTTGGTTTGGGAAAGTTGGAAGGATATTAAGTGGTGAGTTTTGCAATTGCAAGCTTCATACAGAGGAGAAAACAACCCTCTTCTAAAATCTTGCCCTCTTGCAAAAAATCTCTGTATACATTCTAGAAATCAGTTGAATAGAGCAAAGCCTGATTTTTAGAAGTAAGCTAATAACAATGACAGGATTATTCAAATGTACATGATGCCAAAACTATCTGACAATGACACCTCTCTCTTAGGGACTCTTGCCATTGTTTTATAAAGAGAACACTGAAATGTTGGTGGGGAGTTTCTACGGTAGTTCACAACGGGCTAGGTAACACCAGCCACACCTAGAATGCCACGAAAGCTGGATAATCTGTAGCCAGAAAATGTTTAAATATGTTCAGAGTACAATTCCATTTTGGGATATATATGTTGTAAATATTTTTTTCTTTTTTTTTAAAGATTTTATTTATTTATTTGACAGATAGAGATCACAAGTAGGCAGAGAGGCAGGCAGAGAGAGAGAGGAGGAAGCAGGCTCCCCGCCAAGCAGAGAGCCCGATGTGGGGCTCGATCCCAGGACCCTGGGACCATGACCTGAGCCAAAGGCAGAGGCCTTAACCCACTGAGCCACCCAGGTGCCCCAATATGTTGTAAATATTTTATTCTTGATCTGTCACTGACCATTGGCAGACTACCTCTTTTTTTTTTCATGTTTATAGCAATTTTAGTTTATTTTCTCTTTTGAGTAGAGTTGACACACAACCTTAAGTTAGTTTCAAGTGTACAACTTAGTGATTCAACGAGTTTATACTTTATGCTCTGTTCACCACAAGTGTAGCTCCCATCAGCATTGCATCATTATAACAATATCATTGACTATATTCTTTATGCTGTGCTTACTGTCCCCATGACTTGTTCATTACCTAACTGGATGACTGTGTCTCCCACTTCCCTTCACCCATTTATCCAATTCCCTGCCCCATCCCCTCTGGCAACCCTCAGTTTTTTCTCTGTATTTATAGGTCTGATTCTGATTTTTGTTTGTTTATTCATTTATTTTGTTTTTTAGATTCCACTTATGAGTGGAATCATATGGTATTTGTCTTTCTCATTCTGACTTATTTCACTTAGCATAATACCCTCCATCTCCAGCCATATTTCCTCAAATTGTATGATGTCATCCTTTTTATGGCTATCTAATATTCCACTATAGTTATATACCATTCATCTGTTGAGGACCGCCAATAGAACTTTTGAAAGAAGCTTTGCTCTTCATGTTATTGTGTTGAAATTATGGTTGGAGTCCAACTTTCCTTTTCCCCTTGTCCTGGCTAAAGGTTTTTATATTCTAGGATATATTTGCCTAATCCATGGTTACAAAGATCTTTTCTGTTTTCTCAAATAAATGTTACAACTTTACCTTTTACTTTTAGGTCTATATTCCATTTTATGTTAGTTTTAGTGTGTGTTAAGCAGTAAGGATAGCAGTAAATTTCTTCCTAACAGATCTCCAGCTGGTACAATACAATTTGTTACAAAGTTTGTCCATTTCTCATTGATTACGTAGCACATTTGTATAAAATCAACTGAACCACAGACCTTGTTCAATTTCTAAAGTCTCTCTAAGATATTTTTATAGTAAGTGTTGTAGCTTGGAGATCTAAGTTCTCCAGTGTTGTTCCTTTTCCAAAACTGTTCTGGGTATCATGGGGTCTTGGCATTTCTATATGAGATTTATAATCAACTTGTTAATTCCTACAAAAAAAGTCTCTTGATTTTGTTTCTGTTGAATTTATAGGTAAATTTTAAGACAGCTGACACCTCAACAAAATTAACTCTACCATATATGAATACAGTATATTGTTCCACTCCTTTAGCGTTTTTTAAAAACAATTTCTTCCAATGCTATTTTCAGTGTAGGGATCTAGGACATGTTTTGCTGAATTTATCTTATATATATCATGTTTTTTATGCTACTGTAAATGGTTATTTGAAATTTCATTTTTCAATTGTTTATTTCTAGTATAGAGAAATACAACTGATTTTTCTCTATTGGCCTTATATTCAACATTCTTGTTAAATTTTCTTAGGATTTCAGTAGGATTTCAGAAACTTCTATGAGAGTTTCTATGTATTCAATCCTCTTTCTGTAAATAATGAATATACTTCTTGTTTTTAATTTTATGTCCTATGTTTTTCTGGCTTTATTGCAGTGGCAAGGCCATCAAATGCAATATTAAATAGGAATAGTAAGGGCACACATACTTGCCTTGCTTCCCAATCCCAGGGAAAAAGCATTCAGTCTTTCAAGATTAGGCATGATGTTAGCTAAAGGGGTTGGGGTTTCTTTTGTTTTGTTTGTTTTGCCTTATTTTGCTTTAAATGCCTTTTATCTTATAGAAGAAGATCCCTTCTATTCCCAAAGAACAGAGAGTATTTATCACAAATTTTGTGAAGTGCTTATTCTGCACCTTTTCTGAACATAATGAGTTTTTACTCTTTGATTGGTTTCATATGGTAGACTGAACTGTTTTTTTTTTATTCTGGTAAACTGTACAATTTTTTTTAACTGTACGATTTAGTGAAATTAAGCATATTCACATTGTTGCTCAAC